CATGGCCTCTTGGTCCACAAGGTGTGGTTGATAGATGTGTACAGCCAGGTGCTGTCTTCAGTCACCTGCCAGGCTGCCCATGTGCCAGTTGCAGGAGGGTTGGTTCTGCATAGCCTGCCACTTGTGCCCTCATCTGGGTCTCCCAGGGTGCTTGAGCATGTGAACCATCTTCCATCTTTTCCCCAGACTCATCAGCCGGGAACTAGACTGAAAGTGGAGCAGCCAGCGCTCAAACAGGCTCCCCTGTGGAATGCCAGCATCAGAGGTAGGGGCTTCACCCACTGCAGCGCAGAAGTGGCCCCTGTTTTGTACCTTTGACCAGTGTAAACAGGGGCTCTGGAAACACGCTTGAATGAGTTTGTGCACAGATGCTTTGCCTCTGCCCCAAGGGCATGGAGCTAGAAGTACAATTTCGGGGTCTTGTGGTCATTGCACATTTACTTTCTTAGAAACTGTGCATGCTTCCCATAGTGGTGTAATATTTGACATCCCAACCAGCATTGGAAGCTCTGAAAAGAAAAGTAACTTTCGGACAGCTGGATGGTTGGTTCACAGCTGGCTGGCTTGGTCTCGGGGTGGTCCAGCTCCTGATGGCTGTGGCATTCCAGCGCATGCACATGTTTACACTTGTGGTCATCTGAGAGGGCCCGAGGCTGCAGGACCCTCAGTTCTTCCTTCACTCTAGATTGTGAAACATTTCATATCGGGGGCTGTTGTTGTCTGTGATTTCCTGTACTGAACACCAGGTGCCCAGGCACCTTGCTCAGGGCCCAGTGTGGGCCCTGCTTTGGACAGTGCTTGATGAAGATTGAAACGCAGAAGCGAGTTTAGGGAGATATGATTGTGCTCTGTGATGCTGGACCTGGCGTTCCCACCCACTGCCTACCCTCCCCTGTGTTCCAAAAAGACAGTGATGGATAAAGCACAAGGTGTGCCCGGGCGATCCAAGCCAAGCTTGGAGGAAACCACAGCAGGCTGGGCACAGAGAACGGAGGCCGGCCTGAGTGATGACAGCAGCCGTGGGTCCCCAGCTCAGCTGCCAGATTTAGCCTGTAGCAACATGGGATGCCCAGTTCTATGCACGTCAGGTGGCTCTGGAGTTTGAATTTGGCAAGGTGAAAAGAGTTCCAGAGACAGCTGGTGGTGAGTGGGGGCACAGCCTCGTGGAAGTACTGAATATCACACCGTGTACATTGAATGGTTAAGAGGGTAGAAATTGGCCTATGCGTTTTACCACAGCAAAAACGTGTTTCAGATTGACAAGTTTGGTGTGTGTTCAGTCTATGAAATATCTGAACCTTCCTGGAGAGTCTCGAAGACAAATTGGCTGGCCTCCCTCATGCGTCTTGACGTGGTACTTTTAAGCCAGGGATCTGCTTTGCGAAGATATGATCACCCCGTGGGAGCAACTATTATAAGAATAAACGCTTAATCTGAGCTCACAGTCTCTTCAAGACAAATATCACAGGAGCAACCTAAATTGTGGGTTTTATTCTTGAGCCACACGTGTGCCAGGGGACAGAGGCAAGGATTTCAGAAAGTCCCCAGTCCCGAGTTAACCCCTCAGCCTGTCATTCACAGGCATGTTTGTGACAGGTGGGGGGAGCCGGCCGGGGGAGGGTGTATGCGAGGGAGCTGTGACTTCATCCAAAGCCCTGCGGGTTGTATTGCCGTGTTTCCAGTTTAATCAAGCAGACAGAATCAGAATTGACACTTTAAAAGATGCCAGCTCTCATTTCGCCAGCTGGGGCCGAGCTATTTATTAGAATGATTTATTTGCATTAGTATATTTTTATTACAGGCATTTATCTCTGCTCTGAGCAGCAGTCCCCAGGTCCTGGCATGTCGGGCCCAGGCTGTGCCATGCCACATGCTCATTTCCTGTCCTCAGAAGGCCACGGCAGGATGTGTGTGCGTTGGGGGGCATATTCTTGATATGCTTTACCTGAGCTGATGGGGGACTGATCGCACGGAGAATGGCCCCCCACAGGGACTCAGGGAAGGGTTGGGGGACCCTGCTTCCCCCTTGGAGGTCACCCTGGCTGGTGTCCCTAAGGCCTAGCAGGATTTTGATGGCATCCTTGTCTACTACACCGGAGAGTCCTTGGGCCTTGAACCATGTGCATTTGACAAGCTTGCCCAGGCTGCACTGCTGCCTTCCCACCTGGCCCCTCGACGAGAATGAGCGCACCAGATGGGCTCTCCCCGGAGGGGTGTGATGAGCCGCCCTGACACCTCTTTGGAGAACAACCCACCTGTTTATTATGAATTGTGGTTGTCATGGTGATAAACACCTGCTAGGGCAGAGGGTGGCTGGTGCCAGGGAGATCCTTGGTGCACAAGGACGCCTGTGCCGTGGCCACACAGCAAGATGTCCTCTGGGTAGCAGGCGGGAATGCCAATGTGCTGTCTCCCTTAATCCAGTATTACCCTGACCTCGAGTTATACAAAGACATCATGACTAGCTGGCAAACCCCACCCCATGGGGACACAGCCACCTGTCACCCCCTACACACACACACACCCACCCACCCCCCGCCACCTGACACCTGCTGCCCTCTGTATCCCTCCTCCATGCTGAAAAATCAGATCCCCTCACCCCAGGTGGGGGTTGTTGGTGGGACTGGTGTGGGTGATGGGTGACCTGGTTTCTTCTGTCAGGTGGGTGCATCTCTAGGGGGTGCTTGGAGGTGACCAGAGTCCCTCCAGCTCCCCGGGGGCTTTGAGGAAGTGCAACCCCCACAGGCAGGTCCCTAGGTATGTCTAGGGCAGGGGAAAAATTGCCAGTAAGAGAGTAAAACATGGAAATGTTCAGACTGATTAGGAAGGTTGAAGTGCACCCAGCAGAGCCCTGTGTGAGGGGCGGATATGGATATAAGCAGGTATGCATGTGCTCAAAGCTGTCCGCAGTCAGACCTGGACCGGAGGCGGCTGTGGCTGCACTGCTGCCTTCCCACCTGGCCCCTCGACGAGAATGAGAGCACCAGATGGGCTCCCAGGCCTCAGCAGGAAGTGCAGGCCTGGAGTGTGTAGGGGGAGGGAGCCTGCCCCAGCACAGGGAAACCTGGACCAGCGTAGGCTCTGCAGAAAGGGGTACTGACTGCCCAGTACCCACTGTGGTGGGGCCTGTGGGTTGGCGTCCTCCCGGACCAGAGACCTCAGACAGGCAAAAGGCTGTGTGTAGGTCTTTCAGGCTTGCACCCCACAAGGGAGTGACAACACAGTAGGGCGCGTGCGGGGTGTACCCTGTGGTTGAGCCCCCAGCACTGTCTGAATGCAGCTCAGTATCCACATCACCATCAGCAGCATCATGTTGTTACCATTTGAGCATCTAATTCCAGATTGTTCTGGACCTTGATTTGACATGCCAGCTTCCTAGAGCTCCCTTTGCAGCTGGGCAGTGACATCATGGCTGTGGCTCTGACTGCTGTCTCCCAGAAGGTACAAGAATCAGAGGTCATGTACCCCGAGAGAGGAGACGTTCGGCTGTGTCCTTGGGGCATCTCGTTGGCAGCGATGATGACGTGTTGTGCGTTTGCTCTTGTCTGTGGATCTAGGTTTGTGAAAGTAGGATTTGAAGCCTTGAGCAGTGGGATAACTTCTGTGGAGCATGGGATGGCATCCCCACCCCCCAAAAAAGAAAACCTACCTTAATTGTGTGATGCAGTCATTGCATGTCTGGGAGTGAAGTCAGGTCCCACGCAGGTCACATGTGTGCCCATATGCACAGTAGCATCATTGCCGTGTTCCAGGGGGCAGCCAGCCCCAGTGCCCACCAGCCACACCAGCATAAGCAGATGAGGTCTTTCCATGCATTCCAGAGCCTGATAAAGGAAGGCTGTGCCCAGGTGTACTGCAACGTGGAGGAACCCAGAGAAGTTGTGTAGAATGGCATGTCAGACACGGAGGGATGCATACTGTCTGGTGCCCCTTCGTGGAGGTTCCAGGAGGAGTCCAGTTCAGAAATGGAAAGTAGAATGGGGCTTACCAGTTCTGGCTGCGCAGGGGAACACAGTTATTAGTTAATGGGTGTATAGCTCTTATATTTTTTAATTGGAAAGTCAGATATGCAGAGAGGAGGAGAGACAGAAAGGAAGATCTTCTATCTGCTGATTCACTCCCCAGGTGGCTGCAATGGCCAGAGCTGAGCCAATCCGAAGTCAGGAGCCAGGAGCTTCTTCCGGGTCTTCCATGCGGGTACAGGGTCCCAAGGCTTTGGGCTGTCCTCGACCACTTTCCTGGGCTGCAGGCAGTCGGATAGGAAGTGGTGCTGCTGGGATTGAAACCGGCACCCATATGGGATCCCAGCACATGCAAGCCAAGGACGTTAGCCACTATGCTACTGCACCAGGCCCAGTTATAATTTTTTTAAAACTTACTTTTTGTTGAAAAGGCAGATTTACAGAGAAAAGGAGAAACAGAAACATCTTCAACCCACTAGTTCACTCCCAAATGGCCACAGTGGCCGGAGCTGAGCTGACCCAAAGCCAGGAGCCAAGAACTTCTTCCAGGTCTCCCATGTGGGTGCAAAGTTCCAGGATTTTGGGCCATCCTCTACAGTTTTCCAGGCCATGAACAGGGAGCTGGATAGGAAGTGGAGTAGCCAGGACATGAACTGGCATCCATCTGGGATCCTGGCATGTGCAAGGAGAGGATTTAGTCACTGAGCCACTGTACCTGGCCCTGTAGCTCTCATTTTGCAGCATAAAACTTCCAGGAGAGGGCTGGTGGTAACAGTTACCCAATATGAGTATACTTAAGGTCACTCAACTGCTTGCTTAAAAATGAATTTGGTGGGAGATGTGTTTTTTAAGTGATTAAGGACTCTTAGAAGTTAAAAGGCATTTTAACACATATCACTTTAATTAAACATTATGCATGAGTACATCTGCATTTCAAACACATCTGTGTTACATACTTATGTCACTTTGCATATTGGTTTTCGTCTTGGTATGTTTCTCTGACATCTAAAGCCGCAGCCTTTGACTTCCGGTTTGTAGGTATGCAACGGTTTAGAGCAGCCACGGAAGCAACAGCGCTCCGATCTCAATGGACCTGTTGATAATAACAACATCCCGGAGGTAAGTCTCCCATGGGTGACGGTCCTGGGGGGCCCTAAAGATGGGGCTGCCCAGTTCTCCCACCAAGTGCCTCTGCCAGGGGTTCAGGGCATCCACAGGGCGTGCTGACCTGGCAAGGAGAGGAGGGTCTTTCTTGGCAGCTGACCACCACACCCTGGGGTGGTCAGGGGTTATTCATACTGTGTGTTTGGAGAAATCATTGTTCCAAACTGATTTGCTCATCGGTGACACCACTGGCATTTCAAAACAGATCAGTTTCCTTTCATTTTGGGCAGACTGTCCTGTGCACTCCAGGGTGTTAAAAAAAATTCCTGACCCCTGCCCACTAGATGCCATAGTAGTCCCCACCCCCCTCCACCTATGAGACAATGAAAAATGTTCCCAGACATTGCTCCATGTCCGCTTGGGGACAGCAGTCATTCTGGATGCCATTCTTTTCTAAAACAAATGCCGTGTAAACTCCTCTGGCTGCGGTGAAGATCACGGACATGAGGGGTGAGCAGGTGACTCCCCCTCCTAGTGGAGCCTTTCCCTCGTGGCCGAGGCACTCACAGCCTTGGTGTGGCATCTTGTCTTTATCTTGCTTTTTATGGCACACCCAGGCGATTCTCACAGCATGGGCCAGAGAACCAGTGTGCTGCTGGGTCTGCATGTTGACTTGCGGAGGTGGGGGTCCCTAAGTTTTACATGGTGGGCTCTTCTGCACCTCCAGAGCACGAGCGTGACAGGTGGTGCAGAGCCGATGTCTTGGGGTCCCGATCCCTGCGGCTTAGGCTCCTGTCAGGAGGGTGCACGTCTGAGCCCGTGGGAACCAGGATCTCATGAGCCCCTTTTGTGTTGTGCTTTTTCCTAACAGACCAAGAAGGTGGCGTCGTTTCCGAGTTTTGTGGCTGGTAAGTGACTTTGGATTTCATTTCTCGGGAGCATCGGCACGTTGTGTCCAGATGCGTGGTGTTTTATTGGCAGTTTTCTCAGCAGAATGTTAGCAGGAGCATACGTTCCAGCAAGGTGGGCTGTCGGAGCCCTGTGGGGAGCTCTGTGTGGTAGGGAGTGAAGACCCAGCCCACCTGCCTGCTTTGGCATGGGGGGCAACACCGTGGTTGAATGCATCCAGCAGACACAGATGACCGTGCTGCTAGGCTGCTGGGTGTGGATTACGATCCACGGTCATGTGGTAACCTCCACATTGAGGATGCTGTCCTTTTCCAGAGCCTTCTTTCCCTTTATACTCCTGTCCTTTTTTGAGGAAGTGCAGAGAGCATGTCAACATCCCATTAATAACTAGCATCCTGGCTCCCTTTGTTGGATAAGGAACAGAGCTGCTTGATTTTGGATGGAGAGGGTCCCATGCCACCTGCGGGGAGTGCAGCTCGGGCCCCTAGGGCGCCCCCTTCAGGGTGCTGCTAGTGCTGCACCATCAGAATGAGCTGTGCTAACAAGAACCTTCTTGCCCCTGCTCATGTGTCACCGTAAACAATGTAAGTGTTATGAATTCTTTCAATAAGCTGGCAGTTAATTCTTATGAATATTTATGGCAAGGCATAATGAGTCTCCAGAAATACATGGCTATAAACCTTTTCTGCTCTGCTTTTTATTTCTAAGATTTTTGTTTTCCTTGAAGAATGAGAGGCTGAATGAGACAGAGAGACAGAGAGCTCCCATCTGCTCGTTACCTTTCCAGATGACTGTATTGGCTGGGCCGGGCTGGGCTGGGCTGGGCTGGGCTGGGCCAGGCCAGGAGTGGGGACTCTAACCCAGGACTCACTCCCCTGTGGGTGACAAGAACCCACTGCCTGAGCCATCACTTGCTCCCTTCCTGGGTCTGTGTCAGCATGAAGCTGGAGAGTTAGAGCTGGGCATGAGACCAGGCACTTCTCTGTGGCATGCAGGTATCTTACTGCCAGGCTAAATGTCTGCCCCATCTGCTTTTTTATTTAAGAAAGAGCTGAAATCTCCAAAATCCCCTTATAGGGACAGATCTGACCCAGGTAAAATCAACTGGAGCAGGCTCAAAGAGACCCAATTGTGAATGTTGGAGCTGGCTCAAAGTTGCCCAAATTGGATGCAAATCATGTTAAAGCTGTCAGGACCAGTGTTACGCACCTTGAACAGACTACTGCATTCTGACCCAGGAGAACACATTCTCAGCGGGTCTTGTCAGCCATCTGCACGTGGCTTTAGATATGCTGTTGCCAGCTCAGTCTGGTTTTTCTCAGGACACAGCAGGTGGAGGTGATCCCAGCAGAACTGGGTAGGCTTGATTTTCAGGACCTGAGGGCTGGCAGGGAGAGAACACAGCCTCCACGGTCCCTGCAAGTCCTAGTGAGGGCAGCATCTCATATGCAAGGTGTTTGAACATCGTTTCCCTCTACAATCAGAGCCAGGATGGGGGAGGGGTGCCAATCTCGCTGGTCCAATGATGCAGGCCTCATCAACCAGGAAGTACATCCCTCAGGGAGACACACAGCTCCCTGGGAAGGTAACTAGCACACACCTGCCCTGGCTCGTGGGCCAGGCTCCCATTCTTACAGGGGAGCAGCAGGGAAGGAGAGGGGGCAGGTGGACGCCGTGGGCAACCCAGCTGTCACTTCTACCCTTAGGAAGGCTGCATTGACCATGCTATCTGGAATTGTTCCCAACCACATCTAAACGTGTCTGGTACCTCTGACCCATTCAGACTGGGGAAGACCCACTGTGGCCAGCTCAACACAATGTGAGCCGCCCTCTGGTGGTGAGAAATACACAGGTCGTAAGCAAATGAACAGCCCTTATTGGTGGAGAAGCCATAGCCTACGAGGCCTTCCTGGACCCATAGTCAAACTTAGCAAAACCAGCCCCGCATGAGCACACCGTGTCAGGTAGGAATGCATCAGAACTTGAGCTTGAGCGGCATGCCAGTGAGGACGCGGAAGCAGGCGCTGTTCCAGCAGTGCCTTCACTCCGCTGGCGGGGTCAGCGTTTCTGCTTCTCCTGGTGCCAGGCTCACACTGGTTACCTCATGATCACACCGTGTCTGTGTGGCTCCGGCCATTGCATCCTGTTCTCGGTAGGAATGAGAGACCAAGTCCATACCAGCTGTGTTATCTTCCCTTCTGCACTAGGAAAGCCAAGGTTTTCTACGGATGAAGAACGAGCTTGGTGAGCTTTGTTGGGCTCTTGGTGAAAAGGTGGCTCCTACTAAGACTGTGTTGTCACCCCTGGGCAGGAGGGGTGGGGGTGTCAGAGCTTTGGTTGACTGACATCTCATTTTTCTACTCTGCATCCCTGGAAGGGAAGCCAGGGAGACGTGACAGTAAGGAGCATGTACGGCCTTCTGGTGGCCGTGGCACACCTTCTGCATGGATCCAACAGGGTTCTGCGGAGTCTAGCTGTGTGGACCCTAGCTGTGAGCAGCGAGAAGCAGCAAGAACCAAGTGGTGCTGTCATCAGCATTGTTGGGTCTTGGAGTTCTGGTTCCTGTGCTGTGTGTTAGTTCATACCGCCACGTAAGGGGTGGGTCTTCCCCCCTTTTACAGATGAGATGACTCGTCCGAGGCTCCCTGGCTGATGCGGGCTGGGCCCCAGGCCCCTGGTCGTGTAAGCTCCTCCAGCCACAGTGAGCTCTTGTCCCCCAGTAGGTCTTATGTGCTGTTGCTGTTGCTAGGATGGGCAGAGTTGGCCAGTGCTCGCTGTGCTCTGGGTGTTTTCAGTCTGACAACTCAGCAATCAGTGTCGTCACAGCAGGCAGCAGGTGCTGCTGGGGAGGAGCAGGGCCCAGGGAGGTTGAGGCCTCGGCTCACGCTCATTCAGTCTGAGGATATGGCTCCAGCAGGTGTGGAGGGTGGCTGTATTTGCATAAGTCATTTTTCTACAGAGTTAGATGCCTGCTTGTTAAAAACCTAAAGGCTGGGGCTGGTCCCAAGCAGTGGTGCGCAGCTGCTGTGGTTTAAGGACCAGAGACCCCTTGATGGTGTTCTGTTCTCACTTGGTGCACCTGCCAGCCTCGCAGTCACAGCTCCTAAGAATGTCACACAGCCCGTTGCTCCACCCCAGTCCCAGGCCGCTGACACCTCCCTGCCTGTACTCTGTCGCCCTCTCACACCTGCATGGTGGCCACGTGGGAAGAAGGGGATCCTAGGCCCCAACCTGGGCCCAGGCCTGCACTGGCAGCTTCCTTGTCTGGGATGAAGTTACCTGGTTGGGTGGTTGGCTTGATGCACAGGGTACTTAGGACCTGCGGCTTGGTTTGCTTTTTAATCAAGCATGGGGTAGGCATGTGTGTCCAGCTAAGAGTCCTAAGCTGAAGATACCACACAACCCTCATCTGTCCCTTCCCTGAAAGGAATGGGGGCTTCCTGAGCCTGCAGGGGGCTAGGATGCTGACAGCACAAAGACAGGAGCAAGCAGCAGCCATTTGACCAGGAGGAACAGGGACCGTCCAGAAAGGGTTTGTGAAAAACAGCTTTGCTTTTCTTCTTTTTTATAAGCAAGACTGTGGCTTTTCAGTCCTCTGTGCAGTCAGCATGAGGAAGGATTGGGCCTGCTTTAAAACACCATCTTTGATTCAGCTCACTGAGGTTTTTTTAAGATCGCTCTGAACAGCACTTGGATAGGGCTGAGAGCCACAGGTCATCCTGCCCTTCTGCCTGCCATGATGGAAAACTCACCCGGCCTCTGTGACTCCTGCCCCACGTTCCCTGGGCATATGCCAGCCTTCATGCGGGTCCTGTGTTCAGGCAGACACTGCTGGCTGCCAGTCTGCACTCCAGGAGGGGCGAGCGGCCGGCCTGTGGTGGGCACGCGGTGTTTGTTCACCATGCAGATGGGTTCATTTCTGGAGTGCTTTCCAGTCACGGTGGCAAGAAGGGACGAGTTCCCTGGTGGAGGACGGCTCAGCAGGGGCTCCACAGCACCAGTTACTGTGCCCAAGTGGCTGCCCTAGGGCATGGCAGTTGGCACCGTCCCTGGTTGCCCATCCTGTGTGCCATCAGCTGTTTGGTCTTAGCCCAAGGCCGGGGTGGTGGCAGTGGTGTGTAGCCAGGCTCCCAGTTCTCAGGAGTATAATTAACAAATAAAAATTATATGCCTTTATGACACTCAGCATGAAATTTTTGTGTGAGTATTCTTTACGAAATTATGGCTACAATGGAGCTAATTAGCATGTCTCCCCCTATGTGATTGTTTTGTCTCTGGTGAGAACGCATAAGAGCTACAGGCTTTGCGAGTATCTTCTATACACACAGCATGTTGTCCACCATGCAGTAGATCCAGGACCTGCTCATCTTACGTTTGGAAGTTTATAGACTTTGGCCAACATTTTCACATTTCCTCTTGCCTCTTCGTGTTTTTCTTAATTTTCCTTCGTGTTTTTCTTACTTTAAACTTTTTCCATAAGTCATTTATTTATTTTCGTTTTACTTGAGAGAGACGAAGAGGCCTTCTGTTCATCCATCTGTCAGTTTACTCCCTAGGTGCTTGCTGCAACCAGGAGTCCAGAGCATCCCACAGGGGTGGCAGGGGTCCAGCAGGTGCTCGAGCCCTTGCCCGCTGCCTTGCAGGGTAGGTGTTAGTAGGAATCCGAAGTCTGGAGTGGAGCTGGGACTACAGCCCATGCCCTCCACTACGGCATGCAGGCTCCCAAGCTGCCGTCCAACCCACTGCACCTCTCCGGCCTCGCTCGTGGGTGTTGTCTTACATGTACAGGAAATGAACCCATTGATCTGTCTTGTACAGGTTTCTCCAGGTTACGCTTGTCTTTTATTTTCCATATTTTGATTATATTTAATAGAAATTTTTAACGTTCTAATTATTTTTGTTGGAAAGGTAGATCTACAGTGAGGAGAGGAGACAGGTCTTCTATCTGCTGGCTCACTTCCCAAGTAACTACAACAGCTGGAGCTGAGCTGATGTGAAG